CCAGTGACGACTGCAGAAGTACCTCCAGCGGCAGAGCCCCGAGCTCCAGAAGCGCGACCCTGACGGCGACCGTACCAGTCGTGCAGCTGCTGCGAGGTGAGAGGCACACGCGGACGAAGGCGGCTACTCCAAGGAAGCCGCGCAACAGCAGACTCAGAACCCGCAGCGCCAGCACCCTCAGCAGCTCCAGAACCTCCAGCTCCAGCACCACCAGCGCCAGTACCTCCAGCAGCTCCCGAACCTCCAGCGCCAGCACCCTCAGCAGCTCCAGAACCTCCAGCGCTAGCGCCACCAGCGCCAGCACCTCCAGTAGCTCCAGAACCTCCAGCTCCAGCACCCTCAGCAGCTCCAGACCCTCCAGTAGAAACAACTCCAGTGGCAGAGTCACCAGCTCCAGCGCCTCCCGCAGCAGGGCCCCTAGCTCCAGCAGTGCGACCCTGACGGCCAGCGTACCACTCAAACAGCTGCTGTGGAGAGAGAGGGAGTCGACGACGAGAGTGCAGCGGCGAGGCACCAGCGGAGCGACTACGGAGACGGCCGCTCCCGAGAGACTGCTCACCAGACGCCTCAGCGCCCCCAGGCTCAGAACCTCCAGTCTCCGCACCCCCAGGCTCCGCACCCCCAGGCTCAGCACCCCCAGGCTCAGCACCCCCAGGCTCCGCACCCCCAGGCTCAGCACCCCCAGCAGCAGCACCACGCTCAGCAGCACCTGAGTCACCAGTGACCTCAACCAGAGGGGGAGGGTCTACCTGAGACACACCTGAAGGAGCAGGACCGGGAGCGGGGAGGGGGTCTACCTGGGTAGCACCTGGAGCGAGGAAGAGCGGCGGGGGGGGGAGAGGGGCAATGCGGTAGGGGAAGAGACGGTAAAAGGGAACCGACTCGTCGAACGTGACGTCCTGAGAGGGGAAGACACGGCGCGAGGTGGGGTGGTAGAACTGCCAACCAGGCGCGTCAGGGACAAAGCCAAGGAAGACACAGGGAACAGCGCGGGCGGAGAGCTTGTCCGCGGTGGTATCGCGGACAAAGTCACCAGAACCCCAGACCCGGAAACGCGACGCATCGCCAACCTTCCCCGTCCACAGCAGTGTGGGCGAGGTCTCCGGCAAGGAGACACGGGGCCAGAGGTTGAGCTGATGCGCGGCGTACCGGACCGCAAACGGCCACAGAAAATGGGGGGCCGCCGCATGGACCATGGAGGTACGAGCGACCTCCATGACCAAGCCAATGCGGCGCTCAGCAACCCCATTCTGCTGCGGAGAGGCCGGAAGCGTGAACGACTGGGTGATGCCGTGCTCCTCACAGAAGGCTGCCAAGAGGTCGGAGGAAAACTCACCACCTCTGTCAGAGTGCAGACGAAGAACGGGAAACTCCGTCCCGAACTGCTCGCGGAGCTGGAGACGAGAAGCGCGGATCCAAGGGATCAAAACATCAGGGACCTCACCCTTGGTGCGCAAGGGGAAGACCGTGGTGTAACGCGTGTAGTCGTCGACGACCAGCAGGAAGTACCGCTCGTGGCCCTGTCCACGGACGCGGGCTGGGCCCCACACGTCCAGGTGGAGAGTCTGCAGGGGAGCCTCTGTGGGAGGGAACGAGGAGGAGTGAGGAGCGGCGCGCTGCCGCCCCTCGACACAGGGAAGACAGGGAGGAGCAGGCGAGGGTGGGAGGGGAGGGAGAACCCTGGGAAGTCCAGAGACAAGGACACGGCGGTGCATGCTGCGAAGGCGCTGCACCGAGGGGTGACCAAGGCGGTGGTGCCAAAGGAGGGTCTGGTGCGACAAGGCGCGACACGAGCAGGGGGCCGACAACTGACCTGACGCAGACGCAGACGCAGCTACCTGAGGGGACTCAGTGGTCAGGGTGTACAGGCTCGAGCCAGGCTCACGGGTAAACGTGGCCAGGTGTCGGCCCGTCCGAGCACACGTACAGTGAGTCACTCGCTGACGCGCAGGAGTGAACTGGTCAACCCCCCCATCCTGGAGGTCAGCTCCACTCACCAAGTTCTTAGAGAACGAGGGGAGGTAGAGACCTGACAGCAAGCCAGACGGGGCGGCCGGACACGGCAGAACCGTGGAGTAGTGGGCAAGGACTGGACCCCCAGAGGGGTCTGCTAGGGAGACTGCAACTGGCCGACTAAGCGGCGTGAGTGTGGTGCAGTCGCGAAAGAAGGAGCGGGAAGCTCCTGAGTCAAGGGTGAAGGTGTGCAAGGTCGCAGCAGGCGAAGTACCAGAGAGGGCAGACTCACCAGCACCTGGAGCAGCAGCCTCACCAGCACCCAGAGCAGGAGACGCACGAGCACCTAGAGCCGTAGCCTCACCAGCACCTAGAGCAGGAGACGCACTAGCACCTAGAGCAGCAGCCTCACCAGCACCTTGAGCAGCAGGCTCTATACCTGGGTCAGGCGGTACGCACAGGTAACAGGCACGGTCAGCACTAGTAGGCAATGCATACATGGCAGTGAGAATAGCATCATAGTCAAGAGCAAATATATCTACTCTCTGCCCAAGCAGCTCCACCCAATCGGGGAGCTCAGCCTCGTCGCCAAACTCGGTACGCCAGGCGTCGCTCAGACGGGCGAAGCAGCGGGACTGTGTGTGACTAAGCGTCCCGCAAGGCTGACCAGTCCGAGCACCAGTGCGAATGACGTAAGAGCAGCGAACAGAACTGAGAGACCCTCTACTCTGAGCGTACCACTCACGAAGCTGCTGAGGCGTGCGAGACTCGCGTGGACGTCGCTGGAGCTGCATCTGGTCACCGCCAGTAGCAGCAGTAGCAGTAGTAGCAGCAGTAGCAGCGCGGCCACCCCTACAACCCCAACTAGCGTACCACTCACTCAGCTGCTGGGGCGTGAGGGACTCACGCGGACGTCGCTGGAGCTGCATCTGGCCTCCGTCAGTAGCAGCAGGAGCAGTAGTAGCAGCAGTAGCAGCAGTAACAGCCGTAGCAGCAGTAACAGCCGTAGCAGCAGTAACAGCCATAGTACGTGCAGGGCAGGCGCGACAGGCAGGCAGGCAGGCAGGCAGGCAGGCCGGCAGGCAGGCAGGCAGGCCGGCAGGCAGGCAGGCAGGCCGGCAGGCAGGCAGGCAGGCGGCGCGGCAGCGCGCTAGGCAAGGCAGGGGCTCACCAGTGGCGGAAAGAGCATGCTCTCACCGGGCGAGCAGGGCCGGTGCTCGGCGGACGGCGGCAGGGTCGGCGCACGACGGCGGCGACAGCGGGGCCGCAGCAGCGGCTACAATGAAGGGCCGGGTCGAGTCAGCGGCAGGGCGGGGCCGGGTCGTGTCAGCGGCAGAGCCGGGTCGAGTCAGCGGCAGGGCGAAGCCGTGTCGGCGGCAGGGCGGGGCCGGGTCGTGTCAGCGGTGGGGCCGGGTCGTGTCAGCGGCAGGGTGGGGCCATGTCGGCGGCAGGGCGAGGCCATGGCGGCGGTAGGGTGGCGCGCGCCGCTGCCTGGGGCCGCGCACTGGCGGGTAGAGCGCGGCGCGGGCTGCGCGGACGGCGCGCAGCGCGCTGCGGGCCGCGGACGCGCCGCGCGGGCTTTGGGCGGGCTGCGCGGGGCTGCGGCGGGCCGCGCGCGCGCTGTGCGGGCTCGGTGCGGGCCGCGCGGGGCAGGTGTGGGCCGCGCACGCGTCGCGCGGGCTCGGGGCGGGCTGCGCGGGGCAGCTGCGGGCCGCGCGCGCGCTGCGCGGGCTCGACGCGGGCTGCGCGGGCCGTGCGCGGGACGCGACGCGGCTGCCGAGGCGCGATTCGGGCAGGAGAGGGCGACCCGCGGGGGTAAAAACGAGGCAGCGCTTGAAAATTAGGTCTGCGCGCGAAGCAGCAGCAGACAGCTCAGACAGTAGACTGCAGACAGCAGGCAGACAGTGCGCGCAGTGCAGCACGTCCTAGGTACAGTGACAGGCACATTCGTGGGGTAGCGGTAGGTGGGCCCGAAGAAAAAGACGGTCCTACGAACCTACTGCTCTGAAACCATGTCAGAAGTATAGGCAGGAATCGATGAACTATGGAAGAGTCGGGTACAAATATCAAACCCTAGAAGAGGTTGTACCCCATATTGGCTACCCCACTACAGCCTAAGCATGTATAGCATACATAATCTGACACAGTGAGTTGCCCTCTAAAGGGTACAACACTTTAGGTCGACACTTGTATATCTTGTTCCTCCTTACTCACACATTTCTCTCGACACTTGTTTCCTAGCCTATTTTGACACACACTCCTAAACCATAGAAACGTACTTTTGAGCAAGGCCGGGATTCAATAATTATAATTATATATTAGTACACCTGTTTAATATGTATCAAACCCACCTGTTTAATTTGACTTAATTCTGATAATGGGTTGGATTTGCAAACCTTTAATTCCATTCACATAAGGTATCACGCAGCAAGTTAATAAAGTAGGACTGCAATTAGCGAGGCAAGGCAGCGCGAACGAGCTAGGCGAAAACCAAGGGGCAAAGTCTGGCTCGGAAGTGTGGCGAGGGTTACGGGGCGACTCGTGAGTGGTTTGGCCCGACAAGTCAGGCCGAACCAGCTCAGGCGAGCAGTTCGGGGTTACTACTTTTCAGCGCACAGAACTGCGCGAGAAGCTGAATTTAACCAAGTGCACCGAAGTGCACCGAAGCAAGATCCCAAGGCACAGTTTTTCGGCCTTGATCTCTCCGCAGCGCACGCAGCGTGCTGCCCTGCTGTCTCCTCCACTCCCTCCCCAACCACCCCAAGGCTTCTCGCTCTGCCTCTCCTCCGCTCGCCACTCGCCACCCTCGCACCTGCGCACTACAAAGCACCGCCTCACGCGCTCATTCCTCTCATCACTCTCCACCTTACAGCTTCTGTTCTTGCTACTAGAACCTCTCAGCCTTCCCGGTCGCGTTCTCGTTACCTCAGCATGGCCCCATTGCGCGAGTCGTATTCTGCAGCGCTGAGCTTCTGGAAGAGCCTCGGCGGGGAGAAGTCGAGCGCATCACGGCGCGTACAGCCGCTGAGCGACAGCACCAACAACGGTCATCGCACTGACGCCGCCGCGGGATGCAAGCACGACGCCACGGCGTCAGAAACTGGTGCGTGGGAATGCGCAGCGTGGGAGTCAGGCGCGTCGGAATGCGCATCCTCGGAAACTGGTGCGTCGGACCCTGCAGCGTGCGACTGCGCCGCTTCGGGTGCGCCGGAAACTGCTGCGCTGGACTCCGCCGCGCCGGAATGTGCAGCCCCGCAATCAGCCGCGGCGGAATCGGCTGCGCCGCAATCAGCCGCGGCGGAATCGGCTGCGCCGCTATCAGCCGCGGCGGAATCGGCTGCGCCGCAATCAGCCGCGGCGGAATCAGCCGCGACGGAATCAGCGTCGGTGGCATTGGTGGTGGCGTTGTCACGCCCGTCAGCTGGTCGCAGCATGGCGGCAGCAGCAACGCAATCAACGCCGATGTCGCTCCCCCCGTCGCGCATCCCGAAGCCGAGCAACACGGGAGCAGCGATTCGGCGCGTGGAGGGACCGACGCTGATCCCGAGGCCTCGATGTGCCGCAGCGCCCAGGCCGGTGCGGCGAGTGCAAGGCGAAGCTGCCGTCAAGCCGCCTCGCAGAACGCCCAAGGCCAAGGCCGCGCTCACTGCCACCCCAAAGCGCCCATGGCGGCCCTGACTGCTCTGACGGCAAACAAGGACGAAAAACGAAATGGAAAAACAAAATAGCAAAAAACGCAGAAAGAAAAATGAAGATTACAAAAAAAAAGGGGGTTGCGGACTGTTTGCAGAGAGAGATGATGGGTGGATGGGATGGCAGGCAGGAAAGCAGCATAGATGGGCGGACGGAATGAAAGGCAGGTAAGCAGCGCAGCACAGCAACAGGGAGAGCAGCGAACGCGGAGCGATGGGGAGGACGGATGGGTGTGGCGTGGATGGGGGAGCGACGGTGGTACGGCCCTTTTTTGCGCGCTGCTTCACAGCAGGGCGTTTGTGGGAGTGTGGGTGGGTGGTTGGTGGGTGGCGGTTGCAAGTTAGGGGGTGAGGGAAAGGTGGTGTGGTGTGGTGCTGTGGTGTGAATGCGCTGCTGCAAGCTTCAAGGATGGGTGCAGGCAGGGTGGGAATAACGTGGATGGAGAGGTGGGAGTGGTGGGCAACATGACGACAGCCCGATACTGCATAGCTGCAAATGGGTGCATGGAATGGGTGCCCGACAGCCCAATACTACATATAGGTGCTGCCTTGACATGGGTGCAAATGCGTGCAAAGTACCGTAGCCGTAGGCACCAATGCTGTAGGTGCTGGCATGACGCCACCTGTAGGCTTAAGCCCAATGTAGGGTAGGATAGGGGCCTTATTGTGTGTGCCCACTTGCAATGACAATGATTGAATGAATGACGAAAGCCCAGTTGCGTGCAATGAGTTGTGGATAAGGGCAGCAGAGGATTGGATTGGCAGTGCAGGGCAGAGCCATGTGCACTCAGGTGCCAGCATCAACACGGCTGTGACAGGTTGAGAGTTGGTGTTTCCCATGTGGTGTTGATGGTGGTGGCATGGTGGGTGATGCAGCGCATGGTGAGAGGGGATGCAGTGCTCCTGCTGCTGCTGTCCCCCCTGCTGCAGCAGCAACTCCCAGCCCCAAGTGGGTCAGGCAAGCCGTTGAGGTGGAGGGTGAGGTGGGCGAGTGGATGGCGCAGCGCGGGGAGGGGTGTGGCGAGGAGCAAAAGGGGGGGGAGGAGAGGGCAGCAGGCGGGGAGGAGGGGCGGATGAGCAGCGCGTGTGGAGGCAGGGCGAGTGGAGAGCCCCGTTGAGCCCACGCCTGCGTGCATGGCCGCCCATGGCCTCCCCTTCATGGCGCTGCTCCCTGGCGCCTGCAGCCCCCTCTGCCTGCCCCAAGCACGCACCCGGGAGAAGGCGTGCGGCAGGCGGGGGGCAGCACGGGTGGAGGAGGGCGACAGACGGGGCACAGCAGGGGGAAAGGGGGGGGAAAGGAGGGCGGAAGGAGGGGGAAAGGATGGGGAAAGGATGGGGAAAGGATGGGGAAAGGAGTGGGAAAGGATGGGGAAAGGAGGGGATACAGGATGGGGAAAGGAGTGGGAAAGGGGGGAAGGGGGAAGGAAGAAAGTGAGCGTGAACGGAGGAGAAGGGCAGTGGAATAGGAAAAGGATTGAAGTGGGCAGGGTAAATGAGGCGGAAGGAGCGTAAAACGAGGGGGGAAGGGGAATGAGGGGAGTGGACGGGGGAATGGGAGGGGGAGGGGAGAGGGAATGGAGGAAAAGAAGTAGTGAGAAGTGAAAGCAGGGGACAGGCAGGCGAATAGGAGGGGGTTTGGAGGAAGATGGGGAACTGAGGGGAAGGTGGTTGGACGGAGGGGGACAGGAGGGGAACAGGAGAAGGAAAGCAGGGGGCGTGGAGGGGGAAATGAGAAGAAAATAGGGGGACGGGAGGTGGATAGGAGGGTGACAGGAAGGGGAAAGGAGGGGAAATGGAGGAAATAGAAGATGAAGGAGGGGGCAAGGAGGGGAGGGGGAAAGAAGGGGGAACGGAGGGAGAAAAAGGGGGAAGTGGAGAGGAAAGGAGAGTGATAGGATGCGAAAGAAGGAAAGAGGAGGGCGTTAGGAAGGGGCGGCCGAAATGAGGGCAAAAGAAAGGGAAAGGAGAGGGAAGCAAAGGGAGACGAGAGGGACGGGAGGGAGGTGGATAGGAGCGGGACAGGAGGGGGACAGGAGGGGGACGGGAGGGGGAAAGGAGGGTGAAAAGAGGAGTAAAGGGGGTGAAGGGAGCGGGAGAGAAGGGGGAAAGGAAAGAGAGAGTGGGGGGAGAGGAAGGGGGAGGAGGGAGGGAAAGGAGGGGAGGGGGACAGGAGGGAAGCACAGGGAGACGAGAGGGACGGGAGGGAGGTGGATAGGAGGGGGACAGGAGGGGGAAAGGAGGGTGGAGGAAGGTGCGAGGTCGGGTTTGGTGCATGGGCATGCGATGGCAGCACCCAGCGCCGTCATCCCACGCTTGGTGCGGGAAGGGGGGGTTTTGGTGACAAGGCTGACGCCCTCATCGCACTCGCGCCCTCATCCCACGCTTGCTGCGCCCTCATCGCACGCTTGCTGCGCCCTCATCCCACGCTTGCTGCGCCCTCATCCCACGCTTGCTGCGCCCTCATCCCACGCTTGCTGCGCCCTCATCCCACGCTTGCTGCGCCCTCATCCCACGCTTGCTGCGCCCTCATCCCACGCTTGCTGCGCCCTCATAGCACGCTTGCTGCGCCCTCATCGCACTCGCGCTGCTGCCACGGACTCACTCACCACTCGCGCACTCACTTTGCCAACCCGCCTTTCACGGACGCTCTTGCCGCCACTGCCCACTTGGCCAACGCCACTGCCGCCGCGCGCGACCGACTCATGGCGGGCCCACGGCCAGCGATCTCCACGCGCTTCGCTTTTCGCGCTTCGGCTCGTAGCGTCGAGTCCTGGCGAAGCACGCACGCGTGGTTGGGGGGAGCGGGGCGGTGATGGGCGGGTAGAGGGGGTGCGGTGCGCGCGGCGAGGGGCGAGGCACCTCGCATCACTCCGCAGCAGCTTCCCGCGCATCCGTCCGCGAGTGGCGGGCGCCGCCGATTGCGCTGGCGCGTGAATGCGCGCCTCTCGCGCACCTCGTCAAACGCGCAGCTGCCGCATCAGTGCCGCCCACGCGGCTGCTCGCGCGGATGCCGGAAGGGCGGTGCGCGCACGCAGGCGAGGCGCGCAGCAGCGACGAGCACCGCGCGACGTCGCTGGCACCGTGAATGCACCGACGCGCGCTCGCCATAACGCTTCCACTCCACCGCAGCACCTATTCATGGAATGACTTGTTCGAGCGAGCGCGTAAACACGCAGTAACGCCGTAACAGCTGGCCACCTAAACACGAATTGGTATGGTATGGCTCGAGTAATACATGGCGATGGCGGTGTGCGTTGCACACTCGCGCTTCCACTCCTCTTCTTGCCCGCCATCTGCTGCTGTTGCTTGAATCTACGCTCGCTACAAGCAGTCTTCACATACTGGTTTGTGCACTTGCAAACACATACATCATACCTTGAAATGATTAGGTCTCCAACTAGTCTCAAATGTTGTGTGCTTATAGTGTGGTAATGTTTAAATGAGAAATATAGTAATGCGAACATGATTTATTAATACGGAGAGATACATATATGGTTTGTGCACTTGCAAACACATACATCATACCTTGAAATGATTAGGTCTCCAACTAGTCTCAAATGTTGTGTGCTTATAGTGTGGTAATTTTTAAATGAGAAATATAGTCATGCGAACATAATTCATTAATACGGAAAGATACATATAAATGCATAGAAAGTACATATTGTACTATGTTTCGATCAGAAGGTTGATTGTGCCCAGGATCACCTTCATTCCTCGCCGTAGCAAGTCTTGACTTGCTTGACTACACCGCTCGGTGCTGAACTCGGAGCTACCTGCACCTGCATGCTTACCCTTGCTAGGTTGAGATCACTGTCTTGCTTGTTCACCTTGATTTATAACTCTGCATGTGAACTGGCCTTGTGGCCTTTTACTTGTGCTCAGAATGCGTGGTGACGTCGTGATCCACCCTGAGCTTGATCTTGCCTTGTTCTCTTATTGTCCCCCACTTTTCTTATGGGGGTGTGTCAGAACTATATTGTAGGCTGTAGTGGGGCACTCCTTATGGGGTACAGTATTGTTAGGTTTTGCCTATACAAACCTTGTACTGTCCTGTTTCTAGTCATTCTCGTTTCCTACTTTGTGACAAAATATAGTAATGCGAAAATAATTTATTAATACGGAGAGATACATATATGGTTTGTGCACTTGCAAACACATATATCATACCTTGAAATGGTTACGTCTCCACTTAGTCTCAAATGTTGTGTGCTTATAGTGTGTTAATTTATATATGAGAAAGATAGTCATGCGAACATAATTTATTAATACGGAAAGATACATATATGGGCATAGAAAGTACATAATGTACTATGCTACGATAAGAAGGTTGATTGTGCCCAGGATCACCTTCATTCATCGCCGTAGCAAGTCTTGACTTGATTGACTACACAACTCGGATCGGAGCAGTGCTGGTACTTTGGACGGGGCAGTCGCTTCGTGAGAAAGTCGGTTGTCATGTCACCCGTTTGGGCACTAGGTCAGATCGACTTTGCCCTTGTCAACTTCGTCATTGACAAAGAAATTCTACAGCGCGATGTGTTTGGTGTGGCTGACGATTCTGATCGCACTCTGGTTGTCATAGTGCAGGTGGAAGAAAGGCGAAGTTGGGATATTCGCTTCATGCAGGAGCTCTTGCAAGTAGTGCCCTTTACGAGCTGCAGCTATCGCGGCGATAAATTCTGCTTCCGTCGGTTCCCGGGCAACCAGTTCCTGCTTCTGCGAGTTCCAGGAGATGGGCCCTGTTGGCTCGAGCTGGAACAAGAACCCAATTCTGGACCGTTGATTGTCAGGGACAGCAGCGTGATCGGCGTCCACGTAGCCGATGAGGTTGAATGAGGGAGTTGTGACTGTGGAGTAGCGGAGCCCAATGTTGGGCATGGAGTAGAAGAATTGCAGGGCGCGCTGAATATCTAGAAGATTTTCAGCCGTTGGTTTGCGCGACTACTCAGCCAGCGGGCTCGCAATGAATGAGAGATCTGGTCTGTAGGTTACTAAGGCAAAGAGCAGGCATCCCAGCTGCTGCTGGTAAGTCTGAAGGCCTGCGGGAGATAGGGCTTGGTTGTCGGGTTCTCCTCGAACTCGTCGAGCAGCGTGTTGCTCGATCCTGTGTAGAGCAAATCATCTACGTACACTGTGAACAGGATGTAATCGCCACAGAAATGAAGGCGATACATCCCGGGGTCGTGCGGCAGCTGCGTGAAACCTATTACGAGTGGGATTTTGTGCAGGTGCTGCTACCGGAGCCTTGGTGCTTGTTTGATCCCGTAAAGCGACTTCTTCAACTGACACACGTAGGGTCCCTGCTGCTTCCTCCCGCTCCTCCAGGAGGCGACTCGTCGTCGTCATCATCATCACTGTGGCGATCAATCTCCAGAAATTCACTGGTGTTGTCCTGGTTTAGGATGGCAGCGGCAGCCTGGTCTTTAGGAGTAGCATAGCTGCTCCTGTCGTTCGCGTAGACCTGGTTTGCGCCTGCCTGCTCGTCCGCGCGGTACTGAGCGAGTTTGAGTCGCTCGTAGAAGATAACATCGCGCACGTGCGTCACCTTGTTACTGAGCTGGTCAAGAATTATCCAGGCCTTGTATTCGTAGCTAATGCAAAGGTGAATGCCCCAGCGCGCGCGGCTCGTAAACTTGCCGATGGTTGAGGTAGGAGGGCGGTACTGCACCATGCACCCCAGATAGTCCTGCTCCCTACTGCAAAATTCTGTTGCGCCGTCAGTTTGCCGCATTACGAGTTCTAGCATCCACGAAGGTAAGCGTATACCCTTCATCGTTAAGCCCATAGTGGTCGACAATAAGGAAATCGTTGTATACCTTGTGTAGATTGGGGTAGCGGTTGGTTCCTGGTTCCAGCTGCGGGAACGGCTGATGGCTCAGCGCGGCTTCGGGGCAGATGGTGCAGGTGCGCGGCTATGATGTGGTTCTGATTTCGGAGCCGTCGGGGCGCAGTAGTGCACCAGGTGCGAAAAATCCTGCCTCAATGCAGTTGTTCATGGTCACGCGCGAGGGATGACCGAGGCGCTGGTGCTACAGACTGTCAGATGCACGCAGTCCGGAGGTGCGCATATAGCGCGCGCGCACCACTTCGGGGTCTTCTTCGGAGTTGGTGCCGTTGGTGCATTTGCTTCCGCCGTCTCGTCGTTCGCCGTCGTCAGTATCAGCGTGAGGAATTCCCTAACGGGGATAACCGAGAGAGAGAGAGAGATTCTGGTCCCAGGCATTGTTCCGGGGACGAGTGTAAGCTCGCGCGGCTCGGGATCGGGTCTGTAGACGGTGCGACGCGGGATCGATGGCACATTGCCCCAGTTGATGGTCTTCCAGGCTTCGCGATGTGGCTGAATGTCGGCGGAGAGCGGAGGTGGCACTGTGATGTGTTACAATAGAAAGGACAAGCAACGGTCACAAGACCAGTTCACAAGAACAAAGCAACTCTCGGGGTGGATCTCAAGAACACTACACAGTCCGAGAACAAACAAGGGGCCACAAGGCCAGTCCACATGCAAGTACGTAGCAAATATAGAAGATGCAAGAGTACAAGACAAAGCATCTCGACCACGTGAGGATCTGCTCAACCATATGCGACTGCGTCAGCGTAATGGTGCGAGCTGCCCTGTCCCTGGTGATCTGCAGGCCAAGGTAGCGCTGCAGCTCACCAAGGTGAGTGCAAGTTTGTCTCCTCTCCAGTTCCTCCGTCACGGAGGCCAGTGCGCGTGGGTCGGGTGTGGCGAAGACCAGGTCGTCAACGTAAACCAGAACAAAGAACGGGGTCGGGCCACGACGGACGAACAACGACGGGTCAGCAGATGACGGAAAGAAGTCAAGCCCTGCAAGTGTCGTGCGAAGTGTGTCATGCCACTCTCAGGGAGCCTGGCGCAGGCCGTAGACCGGTCGACGCTGTTGCCACTGGGTCCCATGAAGGAAAGAGCCAGTGAAGCCAAGCGAGCGACGCAGCCAGATGTGCTCGTGCAGACTCCCCTGAAGGAGCGCTGTGGAGAAGTCGAAGGAGTGTAACTCGTAGTCGCGCAGAGCTGCAATATGCAACAACACCCAAAGAGTGGTCATCTTTAGGGTGGGAGCGAAGGTCTGAAAGAAGTCTACCCCCTCGCGCTGACTGAAGCCTCTCGCCACATAGCGCGCCTTGAACATTGGTGGTGATCCAGCCGGCCGCTTCACCTTGTTGAGCCACATGCCACTAACGACGTTCGTCCCAGGTGGTGGGACGGCGTCAACGTAAGTGCCTGTCGACCTATAAAATGCCATCTCTGCCTCCTC